AGTCCATGAAGCAGCTGAGGGTGCCTGAAGTAAGCTGGTGACAGTGGGGGTTGGGGAGAGGAGAAAAGATAGATGGGAATGTAAGAATTGTAAGTCATGCAGGTCAAGTTCACAAGTAAACTTTTTTTTTAATGTGAGATCGTCTTGTCTCTTTATCAGAAACTAAAAGAATGTAATTTAGTGAATGGCAAGCTATAATTAAAAAGAGGAAGGCCCTCAGTGAGCTGGATTGACAAGACACAGTGACTACAACAATGAGCTAGGGCAGGGTGGAAATTGGGAAGATGGTGTAGGAGACAGGGCAAAGTTGCCCTATCATAGGATCGCTATGAGTTGGAGTACACACAAGGAAGGGCACCTAACAACAGCAGCCATTAGAAAGTAAAGCCATTGATGACTCACAAATCATAATCATGAATTATGCCATCCTTCCTGCATAAAGACAACACCTTTGGTCCATCATTACACCAATTTGGTTCTGACTATGAATTTGTAAAACAAATGATACAGCCTGTGATGCTTGGAGAGCAGTGAGGAAATAATTGTTTGCCAACACAATTAGTGGTAGGGCTGGAACTTGAGACCAGGCCTTCTGGCTTCCTATTGCAGGGTTCTGGCCATCATCCCGCAATGGAAAGAGCCACTTACTTGCCTTTAGGATTGAGTATCAGGAGCGTCTCTTAGGAACTAGGCTTCTTTTGATAAATGAGGAAATAATACCTTAAGACAATGGACATAAGCATCAAAGAGTTGCTACCTCACAACTTGACTGCCTCTACAACTGATTGTCACCTCAAGTGCAGCCACCTATAAGGGAAAGCTTGGGTGCTGCTATGATGTGAAACAGGCCTCGGGCTTCCAGACTAAGGCAGACCACGGAGAAAGGCCTGTCGCTCTATTTATGAAAACCAGCTTATGAAAATTCTTTGGATCACACCCATCTGATCCTGCTTATACAATTTATCTATGCCCTTGTTGATGTTACGGAGCCCTGTTGGCAGAGCCTGTCGTCAGGCTAAAAATCAAAAACTCAAAAATCCTATGTCAGGATATTTTCCAAAACCAGAACTCAGAAAATCCTATGTCAGGACATTTTCTGAAACCTGAACTCAGAAAATCCTATGTCAGGACATTCCCCAGAACCAATTTCCCAAGACCAGAAAGTTTATGCCCCAATGAGCCACTGCAGTCACCCCATAACCCCGAGCCCGGCACGCAATAAACTCTGAGAAATGTTTCTACCTCAGCGTGGTTCTTGGCTTCGATCTAAAACCTTTCACCTGTTACTTGTGCTAGGCTTCTAAATAAGAGGTTGATGGCTCAAATCTACCATTTGAGTTTTTTCACACTCACCTATAATGGTACAATTAACATCCTTGTATATGTCTTCATATGACCATATGCAAGAGCTTCCCTAAGAATTTTTCTATGGTAGAAATCTAGGAGTGAGATTCCGGGGTGAAGGGACGTACCTGGTCAGATTTGCTAGACACTGTACAACGGCCATGCCAGTATGCATTTGAACAAGCAATGGCTAAGAGTTCTTGTTCTCATACATCCTCACCACCACTTGTTATCATTAGACTTTGCCATCTTTGCCAGCCTCCTGGGTGGGCAGTGGTATCTTGTTAGTGTTTTGATTTGTCACTTTGATAACTAGTGAGATAGAATGTTTTCTCTTACACTTGTTAAACCAATATTTTTTTTAAAAAAAATCCAAAACCAACCTCCTTTATGTTGTTGTTATTATGTGCCGTTGAGTTGATTATGACTCTTAGTGACCATATATATGAACAACAGATCTGAACCTTGCCCTACCCTGTGCCAGTCTCACGATCTCTGCTATACTTGAGCCCATTGTTATAGTCACAGTGTCAATCCATCTTGCCCGATCCTGAGCCATTCTCACAGTCGAGCCTATTGTTACAGTCACGATGTCAGTCCATCTTGTTGAAGGTTTGCCTCTCTTTCTCTGACCCTACACCTCTGTAGGGATGCTCAAAAAAACATTCCCTTAAACAATTACATTTATTTCAATTTGAAACAGACCTAAAAGTGTACATTCCAGTTCCATGCTTGCCAAATACTTGAGTGCATTTACTCTTCACAGACAAGCCAGAGTTGACAGTTAGGTGGATGAAAGGAGAAAGGGCTATTAGTCACCCTTTAAACATGGAACAAAATTAACTCCTGCAGCTCAATTTGCAGTCAAGCAATAGAACAGCCTGTAAGGTGAACACTGACACCAGGGAGACACTTCACCTCCTAGGACAATTAACCACAAATGATCAAAAAGTGTTGTTTTCCCAGAGATAAAGCTCCCAAAGCAGGAAAAGGTAGAGTAGAAGGACTAATGGAAATGAGAATCACTGGGAGGAAGTGGGAAGAGTATGGTTTCATTGTGTGTTTTTTAATTAGTAACTTAAAACAAGGAGAGCATTATGCTAAGTAAACTAACTCAGTTTCAAAAGGACAAATACTGCATAGGACCATTATGGTAAAAAAAAAAAAAAGGATAACTAGTAAAACGTGTATGGGGATCCAAGGAGTGAAGGGGTGGGCACAGAGGAGTGAGGTTGGTCAGGGGGGAAATCATAGGGTCACACAATTTGATGGGTGGAGGGGGCTAAAGGAATTGAGAAAAATCTGCTAGGGATCTGGAAAGACAGAGTAATGGTAGGCATCGTTCAATGGTGATTGATTTTATAAAACATAATGAATGAGGAGAGCTCTCGTGGCCTAGTGGCAAGAAGCTGCACTGCAATCCCAGAGATGTGCTATTCAAATCCACCAGATGCTCTGCTGGAGAAAGAGGTACAATCTCCTCCTGTACAAGTCAGATCTGATTTGATAATAATAATTAATAATAATAATTAATAATAATAATAAAATTTAAAATTACATTAATAATAATAACATTTTAAAAACAAAATGAATGAGAATGATTACATGAAATACAATGTAAATAAAGGATAGTGTGAAACATAACACACACACAAAACCAAAATGTGTATGAACAACTGAATGGAAAACCTGTTTGTTTTGTAACATTTCACTCAAAAGACAACCACAAAAGAAATGTTTTAAAAGGTGAAATTAAAAAAAATAAATTAAAAAAAAAGGTGAAATTGAGGTGGGAAAGACTTAGAGTAGATAGATTGATATAGTAGTTGCAACAGTGGGTCCAAATATAGGAACAATTGTGGATGATGCAGGAGCAGTCAGTGTTTCATTCTATTGCAGGTAGGATCGCTGTGAGTCAGAACCAACTCAATGGCACCTAATAACAACAATAAAAAAATAAGAAAGTTGGGCATCACTTCCTTATAGCTAACCAATGAGCTCCGTAGAGATTTTCCTCTCCACAGACGCAAATCACCAGGCCTTTCTATTGCCATTTTGCTGGGTGGATTCGAACCCACTAACTACTAAAAGCTGGTTAGTAGAGGAGAACAAACTTCTACCATCCAGGGACCTTATAGCTAACTGTTGTTGTATGTGCTATTGAATTAGAACCAGCTCATAGCTGACTGTCCAGCAGATTCTCCGAGGCTTTAAAATCACACGGGAGAAAACTTCCCATCTTTCTCCTGCAGAACAGTTGGTGGATTTGACCATGTGCTTTAGCAGCACAGCTTCTTACCACTAAGCCACCAGAGCTCCCTTATGGCTAACTTCTTATTATTGTTATTTTATATCATCCACTCCAGTGAGTTTTCAGAGGCTTTAAATGAAACACCCCATCTTTCTACTATTGAGCATCTGGTGGATTTGAATCACATACCTTTGCATTGGCAACACACAGTTCCTTACCCCAAAGCCACCAGAGTGGTGGAATTTCATTCTACATAAATCTAGTAGAATTAAATTTCTTGCTAATTAATGCTAATAAATACCTTGTTGTTGTCGTTATGTGCCATCGAGTCGTCTGTGACTCATAGCGACTCTATGTACAACAGGACTCTGATGTATCCTGTGCCAATCTCACCATCTCTGACACACCTACCCCCATTACCGCAGTCACTGAATCAATCCATCTCATAGAGGGTCTTCCTCTCCTGCGTTGCCCCTCCAAACTCCCAAGCATGACATCCTTCTCCAAGGGCTGGACCCTCCCTGCAACATGTCCAAACTACGTCAAAGCTTCAGAATCCTTGCCTCCAAGGAACAGCCCGGCTTCACCCTCTCCAGGATGAATCTGTTTGTTTTCTTGGCAGTCCATGGAACATTCAATACTCTTCTGCAACATCACAGCTCAAAGGCATCAATTCTCCTTCTATCATCCCTAGTCATTGTCCACCTCTCTGATGCATAGCAAGTGATTGCAAAGACCATGGCATGTATCAGGTGCACCTTAGTCTCCAGACTGACATAGATGCAAATACCTTAGTATCTTCATTTTGTAAAGTACCTTGAAATGACACAAGAAGCTGGCAGATCTAAAAGGGACCACAGGAGAAGATCCCAGATACAGTGGAGGTGAAATGTGGAACAAAAAGGCCACACTTGCTAGTCTGATAGAGACTGATGGAAGCTCTGAGACTATGGCCTTAGCCACCCTTTGTACCCAGAACAAAGCTCACTCTATGACTCAACTTGCAGCCAAGTACTAGATAGGTCTATAAGGGAGGAACTCTCTCCTTACTTTAACCAACCATATAAGGTCTAAAGAGCAGCATTTGCCAAAGATAAGGCCCTAAGGTAGAATAGAAAAAGGAAGGGTAGAATAGAAAGATTATAGAAAAAAGAATAGAAGAAAGGGTAGAATAGAAAGATTAATGGAAATGAGAATCACAGGAAGGACGTGGGAAGAGTACGACTACATTGTGAGTATTGTACTTTACATTATAATACAAAGTGGGTACAAATGGAAAACCAATTTGCTTTGTAAGCTTTCACTCAAATCCATTCTAAAAAATATGAAAAGTGGGGGAAAGCAGTGCAGCATGCCCTACACAATTCATAACTGTCTCTTGGGCCTCTCCCCTTTTTTCACCCAGGTTTGTCATGCTGTTCACAGATGACTTGGGCCACATTTCCCAGTGGAGTGCCATTGTGGCTGGGAGTCTCGCAGGCATGGTCTCCACCATTGTGACATATCCCTCAGACCTCATCAGAACTCGGTTGATTGTACAGAACATGCTGGAACCATCTTATAAAGGCATCCTCCATGCTTTCTCTACTATTTACCAACAGGAAGGGTTCCTGGCCCTCTATCGAGGAGTTTCCCTCACTATTTTAGGTAAGATGGAAAGTCTCACCTTGTCCAAGGTGAGAAGGTGGCTGTGTTAATACCTATACCTATACCTATACATATATATGAATGTACTATATAGCTTTGTGACCACTTAAATCTGTTTTGCTGAGGCCAAGAGTATAGAGATTCAATCTTTCTTTATATGGCCAGTTGGCTTCATTCTATTCCATAACCATTGACCTCAGTCCCAACTTTGGCCAAGGGGCAGAAGGGGAGGTGGTTCTGCCAAACTAGTAGGAAGATGAGCATAAATACTATCTGACTGCAGGAAGAAGTGTGTGTCTCTCTCCCTCTTTCTTTCTCTCTGAGTGTGTGTGTGTGTGTGTGTGTGTGTGTGTGTGTGTGTGTGTCCCTTTACCAGGTTTAGCAGGGCCACACACACAGGTCACCAGAGACTTTGATTGCCAAAGCAAATTGACTTTCAGTCCTTTTTCAGACCTCTGTGGAAGGATTTGCTATGTCTTCCCACCTCTCTGGTGGCTTCCTCATCTGACTCCTTCGCCTTGTCTAGTTCATCTGATGCTGCCAGCCCCTTACGTATTCCCCCCAAATTTCTTCCTTAACCTTTATTCTCACCCTCTATATCCTTCCTAGGTGGCCTCATCTGAGTGTGTGGCTTAAACCAGCATCAGGATACTCTAATCACTTCCAGTCTCTGTTTCTAATCACAGTGACTAACATTTATTGAGGGAGCTCTGGTGGCCTAGTGGTAAGAAGCTGCGCTGCAATTCTGAAGGCACATGGTTCCAATCCACCCACTGCTCTGTGTGAGAAGTATGGGCATTCTCCTCCCATGCAAGTTGCTGCCTCTGCAAACCCACTGGAGGGTCAGTTATGAGTCGATTCTGACTCGGTGTCACACAACAACATTTAACTTGGGAGCTCTGGGAGTGTAGTCGATTGGGAGTTGCACTGTTAAACCAAAAGCAGTGCCTCTCTACTGGTTGGAAACCCCCAGAGGCTCTGTGGGTGAAAGATGGGAAATCTCCTCTCATGAGGTTTACCACCTTTGAAAACCCACTGGAAGGAGCCTGTTCCAACTCGATGGCAATAAGAGTTGAGTTGAACATTTATTGGGCACTTACTGTGTGCCAGATACTTTACTAAAAGGTTTGTATATGGGCTCATTTAAGCCTCATTTTGCAGATGAGGAAATAGATGCTTAAGGAAGCTACATGACTTGCCTAAGGTCACAAAGACAAAGTGGAAGAACCTCGAAGTGGAAGACCACCACAGCCTCCTCTCCTAACCATTGATTTATCCCAGGTCCTAACAGCAGTGTGACTATCTACCTAGCTATCTGCTATTTGGCACCTTCGTTACCAGTTGCCCTATACTGATTCTGGCCCATGACAACCTTGTATATGTCAAAGTCCAACTATATTCCATGAGGTTTTCGGTGACTGGGTTTTTTCAGAAGTAGATCACCAGGCCTTTCTTCTGAGGCACCTCTGGATGGATGCAAACCTCCAGCCTTTTGGTTAACACCCAAGCAAATTAACCATTTACACCTTCCAGATTCACATTACAGACACCCTGATGTCCCTGTCTGCCTCAAACCTGCTCTTCTTCCTACAGACCCATTGCCATAGAGTCAGAATTGACCCTCCAGCAGGTTTTTGAGAGGCTATAGATCACATGAGAGGAAATTGCCCATCTTTCTCCCAAAGAGAGGTTGCTGGATTCAGATCACCAGAGAGACACCATTTTTAGGTTAATTGCACAACTCCATACTGATTGAGTCACAAGAGCTCCTTCTAGTGAAGGATATCACCTTGCTTTTTTCATGACGTGGCTTAAACCCGAAGCATAGGAATCACTTTAACTCCTGCTCCCACTCCATTCTTCTTTCAGAGAGACCCCAGGGCTTATCATCCTGACCTTTTAACCTCTCAAGTCTGTTGCCCTTCTCCGTCCCCAGCCCCTATGCCATGCTCTTATCATCTTTTCTCCAGATTCTTGAGCTTCTCCTGTTGCAATCTGTCCTCTTTCCTGCTGCCAACGTGGAATGATCTTTCTAAACACAATTTCGTCAACTCACCATTCTCATTGCCTTCCTTAAAAGCCTCCAGTGGCTCCTGGGCTATGGAGAAAAGCCTAAGTTCCTTATGACAGAGGCCTGGCCCCTGTCCACCTTTCCTGCCTAATTTCTTGCTACGTCTCCTTAAGTACTCCAGCCACACAGAAACACTCCTAGCTCTGGTGGCCTAGTGGGTTAGGAGTTGCACTACCAACCCAAAGGTTGGTATTTGGAACACTCCAGCTGCTCCAAGGGAGAAAGATGGGCAGTCTCCTGCCAAGGGATTTACAGCTCCGGAAAACCTACTGGAGGTTCAGCTACAAGTTGGTTCTGACCAACCGACTCCATGGAATGAGTCTGTGGGAGTTTTCTGTACGTGATAAACTCCTACACATTTCTTCAGACCCTGTTCGGAAACTCTCCTGTGAAGTCCTCCTTGATTTACCCAGGCTGAATTCATCCTTCTTCTCCTTCCCATGCCTAAAGCACTTTCTATTGCCCCAGATTATAGCATAGATTAGCTCTTGCTTTGTTTTTCCCTGGCTGTCTCCTCGGAGGCATTTGGAGGGCTGCAATTAGCCTACTTCTCTTTGTAGTCCCAGCACCTGGCACAGAGCCCAGCACATCGCAGAAGCTCCACAAATGTTTTCTGAATGAATGTAAATAAGGAGGGGAGGAGATGGACTGGAGAGTTATTTTTAACAAATTGTTATTAAAAAAGGATTTTTCACTGAATCAAATAAGCCCCCTTGGGCAAGCCCATCTTTTGAATCTCATTTTGAGTCTACATGTAAACCGAAAGGAACTCCTCAAGTTTCTGGAAGTTTTGTGTTCATCTTTTTTTATTAGAAAAGGTGAAAGAAAAGGTGTCAACACCATACAGTGTAGGAGCTACTGAGTCCTCATATGGCTATGTCATTGTCAAAGGGAGGTCAGGTACCTCCCCTCATGGTCTCAGTACCACCTGGCCTCCTCCTCAACTAGCTCCCTCACTCCCTAGCCTCCAAAAATGGACATGATGCTTGGGAAAGATGGAGGGTCAGTAAAACAGAGGAAGACCCTCAATGAGATGGATTGACAGTGACTGCAGCAATGGCCACAAGTGTGTCAGAGATGATGAAAATGGCACAGGATAGGACAAGGTTCTTGTCTGTCATTCATAGGGTGGCTATAGAAGTCATACAGCACATAAAAGCAACAACTAAGCTTGAGGCATTTGTGTAGGTGGGAGTGATTTTGTCAACATTTTATGAATTTTTAAATTCATTTCCAATATGCAGAACAAAACTCAAAGTCATTGCCATTGAGTTGGAACCAACTCATAGCTGACCATCCAGACAATTTGGGGGGAGGCCTATCTTTCCACTTTGGAAAGTGGATTCAAATCACCAGAGAAGCAAAACTTAGGGTTAGCAGTTTAACTTCCCATCAACCATGCCACCAGAGCCTCCTAACCCACAGAACAGTTTAAATAATTCTGCATGCCCATAGTCTACCATCTGGATCCTACCATTAACATCTTACCCTATTTGCTTAAACACATATCTGTCCATCTGTCCTCTCTGGCCATTTGTCATTGTAGTTAACTGCCATTGAGGCACTGCTCAACTTGTGAGAACCTCACATAATGAAACCCTGCCTGGTCATGAGCCATCCCCAGGACTGTTTAGGACCTTTGTAAGCCATGTGGTTCCCATTGGTGGATTTATGGAAGTGGGTTGCCAGGCCTTTCTTCCTCGTGTGTCTCAGTCTGTAAACTCAGCTGAAACCTATTCAACATCATAGCAGCACTCGCTCCAGCCTCCACCAGCATATGAGCTGCACTGGTCAAGAAGCGAACGCAGCTTTCCTTTATGGAAAACGGGAATACTTCCCGAACCACCAGTGGCCTGGCTACAAGTCCATTTTGTGTTTGATGAGTTCACTGTCAGCTGCAAACATCAGTACACTTCACCCCTAACCCCTTCAATTACATTGTAATGCAGGCACTCTCACTTGATTGTACTTTGTTTTGTATATACTGTGCTTCAAATACAGCATTTTTCTTTTTCCTTCCTTTTTTTTAAATATAAATTGAAGGTTTTTGGCAATCCAGCATTGAGCAAGTCTCTCAGCGCCATTTTTGGCAACAGCATGTTGGAAAATACTTCGTGTCTCTGTGTCACATTTTAGTAATCCCCATAATACTTCAAAATTATTATTATTATTATTATTATTATTATATTTGTGTGTGTACCATCAAATCAGATCTGACTAGTACAGGAGGAGATTGTTCTCCCTTCTTCAGCACAGCATCTGGTGGATTTGAACTGTGCACCTCTGGTATTGCAGTGTTTCTTCTTGCCACTAGGCCACCAGAGCTCACTCAGAATTTTTCATAATGCCATGTTAGGCTTAACAGAATACAGTGTGGTACAAACATAACTTTGATATTACACCAGGAAATAAAATATTCCCGTGACTTGCTTTATTGCAATACTTGTCTCATTGCAGAGATCTGGAGCCCTACTGACATAATCTCTGAGGGATGCTTGCATTTGTGCATTGGTGTTTTCAAGTAAAATTTTTATATAGAACAAAATACAAATGCTTATTGAACCATTTGGTGCATCCTGACAGGTGACTCAAGCCACTGTCAAAACACAGGGTTTGCACCTTCCAGAAAGTTCTCTGGTGTCCCTGTGTGCAGCCTCTCCCTGGCTTTTTTTTGCAGGTGCTCTCCCATTCTCTGCTGGCTCCCTCCTGGTTTACATGAACCTAGAGAAAATCTGGAATGGCCCCCAAGATCGCTTCTCTGCCCTCCAGCACTTTGCCAATGTCTGTCTGGCCGCTGCCGTGACTCAGACCATGTCTTTTCCCTTTGACACGGTGAAGAGAAAGATGCAGGTGAGGAGTGGGGTGTGGGGCCTGAGGCTTTTGCGGTCAAGGATGCTAACCCCAAGAGATGCCAGGTTTCCAAGGAGATCAGAACTGTGCGTACCAATACTGTGCAAACCCCCACTCCACACTTACTGCTGCTAACCTTGGGCCTATGGGCTCTAGCCTGAGCCTCCCTCACAAGCTGTTTTCCATCTTTTATCAAACCTCCAGATGGAACCCACTTTCCTTTCCTCTCTTTGTGGCCTCTACCACCCATCACATGATGTGCGGTTTGCCTTCCTCCCAGATCTACAGGAAGTAGAATTCCATCGCCTAGCTCTCACCCTCATCTCTGGTCCCCTCTACAAAGCAGCATGCTTTTGCTTTCACAGCTGCTGCTTACCTCAGTGAGACAGGCTAGAGAGAGCCAGGAACTGGAGAGATCCGAAGGAACCGTGCTGGCAAAACAGTTAAGTACTAGGCTACTAACTGAACGGTCAGTGGTTTGAACCCACCCAGCTGTTCCACGGAATGAAAAGGCCTGATGATATAGCTCCTATAAATATTAAAACACACACGTACTGCCATCAAGTTGATTCCGAATCATAGTGACCCTGTTGGACAAGAACAGAATTCCCCCCTAAGGTTGTGGCCCAAATCATTAGGAGTTAGCTGCACTGACTCTCCAAGACCACAGTTCAAATCCACTAGCCACCTCATGAGAAAAAGATGGCCAGTCTCCTCCAGTGTGATTTACAGCCTTGGAAATCCAATGGAGAGTCAGCAATAAGTTCATTCTGACTCAATGCCTGTGAGTTATAAATCTCTACAGACGCCCGTGACTATGTCTTTCTCTCACTCAGTGGCTGATAGGTTCAAATAGCTGACCGGGTTAAATGCTCAATTAGCAGCTGGGCATTTAACCCCTGCATCACCAAGACTCTATATAAAGATAATGTCCCAGGGAACATTAAAGGGCAGTTCTAGTCTGTCATTTAAGGCCACAAGGAGTCAGAACTGATTCAATGGCTTAAGACAATAACAACATCGATATCAGCAGTCCGACTGCCCACGATTCTTTTACTGAGTTACAGGCATTTGAAATAGGTCACTAATACAGTGAGACTGGGCATGCGTTTTCTCCCGTCATTCCCTGGAAACACTCTCATGTTCTCTATAAACCACAGAGACAAAAGCCTGGTACCAGAGGCTCCAGAGAGAATAAATGGTTTGGCCTGGAACAAGCCAGTTTTGAGAAGAGAAAAGTCAGGTGGATGCACATAAGGTTAAAGGGTTGCAGCCACACCTGTGCACTGAGAGCAAGCTCAGAACCCAGACAGCAGTGAGTCTTTGCTTTGTCCCTTAACCCTGTTCATGGTCCCCTTAAAACTCCACCATTACAGACTTGCCTGCTTCCTTGGCCACTTCTGGGAAAATCATCTTTTTGTTTGTTAAAACAAGTTCAAATAGGCTTTCTCAGAAGTGTTTACTTCTAATATTTAAAAAAAATTGTAAACAGACTCGTGTTTATATTAAAAGTGCAGTTATACAAATAACAGAGCAGTATGACACTGTTGTTATGTGCCGTTGAGTCAGAACCATCTCGTAGCTGACCCCCCAGTGGGTTTCAGAGGCTGTAAGTCCTACAGGGGGAGACTGCCTATCTTTCTCCTGCGGAGCAGTAACTGGTGGATTCAAACCTCCTGCTTTATCCAGAAACCACCAGACAGCCCTAAAAAAAAATAATAATAATCTAAAGCCAAAGCTAGAATGATATGCTATTTCTTCCTAATCGAAATGTTTTAGAATAATGAAAGCCATGGTTCTGTAGTTTAACACATTCTTATCTCCCATGCTTCTAAGAGTTCTTGTCTCCATTCAAGAAACCTAACTGCTTACGTTAATTCGAATTCTTGTCACCCAGGAAACCAAAATCCAAACCACTACCATTGGGTTGATTCTGACCCATAGGAACCCTATAGGACAGAGCAGAACTGTCTCATAGGGTTTCGAAGGCTATATATCTTCACAGAAGCAGACTGTCACATCTCTCTCCCTCAGAGAGGCTGGTCACTCTGAAACCCTGATCTTTTGGTTAGCAGACTAACCACTGTTCCAGCAGAGTTCTTCTGTCACTCGGGAAGGAGTCTCTAAACTCTAATACCCCCCATCTTTATTCTTTCCATCTCTTACTCCTTTACTTTCCCTGTAGCTGTTCTCCCATGGAAAGGTGGAAAAGGCGATTTTTTTGATCTTTCTATTTCTAGCCTCTTTTTTTTCTTTCCAAGGAGCCATGGTAGCTCAATGGTTAAGTGCTTAGCTGCTAACTTAGAAGCAAGCATTTGAACACACCTAGGGGGACCCTTCATAAAGTCGCTATGAGTCAGAGCTGACCCTATGGCACCTAACAACAACAACAGCTGCTGTAGAGGAGAAAGTGCCTGGTAATCCCTTCCCAAAAAGACTCTACAGGGCAGTTCTTCTGTCATACAAAGTCACTATGAGTCAGAATTGCCTCCGCGGCACCTAGCAACAGTGGTTTTTTGGGGGGAGAAGTCTTGATTCATACAATTGATATCCTGAAGAGCTGCACGAAAATGAACCTGGAGTCACTTGAATCACATTTTTAAGGCTCGGTCCCAGCCGAGTTGGTTTTTGCAATGCACATGCCTCTAATTTGTCCCTCTGGTATGCATTGCCACCTCCTTCCAGCCTCCTCTCTAGAGCTGTGGCTAGACTTGGCCATCACCTACCTCAACACTGAGAACCTGAAGGTATCTTGCCCAGTCTGTAAAGAAAAGCTACTTTCAGAATAAGAAACATCTTGATTACATGCAATTTGGCCACTCCCACCAATCAAACTTTTCATCTGCCTGAGTTGTGTCCTTTCCTTGTCCTTGTCCAAACCAATAAATAATTGTTGTTGTGTGCCATTGAGTCATTTATGACACGGAGACACCCTCTGAACTTTGTCCTATCCTGAGCCAGTATCACTGTCTCCAACACCCCCCCCTCATTACCCCAGTTACTGTGTCATTCCATCTCATAAAGAGTCTTCCTCTCCTGCACTGTCCTTCCACCCTTCCAAACATGATGTCCTTCTCCAAGGACTAGTCCTTCCTGGCCATGTGCCAAGGTACATGAGACAGAGCTTCAAAATCCTTGCCTCCAAGGAGCAACTTGGTTTTATCCTCTCCAAGACAAACCTGTTTGTTTTCTTGGTGGTCCATGATTGATATGTTCAATACTCTTTTCCAGCACCACAACTCAAAGATATCTATTCTTCCTCTGCCATCCTTAGTCATTGTCCAGCTTTCTAATGCATAGCAAGTAATTACGAGGACCATGGCCTGAATCAGGTGCACCTTGGTCTCTAGATTGACATCGTTGCTTCTCAGTACTCTGGAGAGGTCTCTGACAGCAGATTTTCCTAGTGCAATTTGTCTTTTGATTTCCTAACTGCTGTTGCCAAAGAGTGTTGATTGCAGAGCCGAGCAAGCTAAAATTGTTAACCACAATCTCATCTCCATCTATCTTGGTGCTGCCAGTTGGACCAGTGGGGAAAATGTCTTCTTGAGGTTGAGCTTCAATCTGTATTGAAGACTGCAGTCCTTGACCTTCTGCAGCCAACACTTCAGGTCCACCTCAGTTTCAGCAAGTATGGTTGTGTCATATTGTAATTGTAATGGGGATGTAAATTTGGAGTCTACTTAATCAGTTGCCTTCTAGTGGATTCAGACTTATAATGACCCCGTAGGACAGAGGGGGATCTCTGGTGGTTTAGTCAACAGGAAGTTGTGCTGCCAACCCAAAGATGGGCTATTTGAGTCTGTCAGCAGCTCTGTGGGAGACCGATGGACAGTCTCTTCCTGTGAAATTATAGCCTCCGGAAAACTATTAGAAAGTCAGTTATTAATGGATTCCAACTTGTTGGCAATGAATGAGTTTATAGAACAGAGAAGAACTGCCCCATAGGGTGACCAAGGCTAGAAAACTTTACAGCAGCACACTGCTACATCTTTCTCTTGTGGAGCTGCTGGTAGGTTCAAACCACCAAACTTGTCTTTAACAGCCAAGCACTTAACTGCTAAGCAACCAGGGTTCTTCAGAGCCTGCTTAATGCATACTTAACCATGAAAAGTTTGGTGGTTTCTAATTTTAAAATTTGCATCAATTTTAGAAAATTTGAGAAATAAATAAAAGTACAAAGAAAATAATTAACCATGATGTTGAGTGTTAGCAAGTCAAAACCGACCCACAGCTGACCCTCCAGGAGGTTTTCAGAGGTGGTAAATCACAGGGGAGGAGATTCCCCATCATTCTTCCAAAGAGCAGCTGGTAGATTTGAACTGTGTGCCTTTGAGTTGGCAGCACAATTTCTTATCACTAAGGGTATTTATGGGAGCTCTGGTGGCCTAATGGCAAGAAGTACTGCAATCTGAAGGCACATGAATGGACAGAAGAACTATGATATATTCCCACAATGGAATACTATGCAGCACTGAAAAACAAGGAACTCGCAAAACATTATACAATATCGGTAACCCTGCATTATGCTCAGTGAAATATCTCAGTCATAAAAGGACAAATACTGCATAACACCACTGTTATACACTGGGACTGACATGGGGGGGTTGAAGGGAAACTAGAAAAAGAGGGACTAGATAATCGACACAGCATTGGAATAGATGAAGGAAAGATTGTTTAAAAGGAATATATTATTAGGCATTATATGTATGACAACAGTCCAGAATAAGAGATACATTGCAAAGTGGGCTGGAAGAAGGGGGAGAGGTACTTGTGCAACAATGAATGAATGAATGAATGAATGAAAATCCAACTTTTCTGTAAACTTTTGTTGAAATCACAATAATTTTTTTTTTAAAAAGCAGTTTACCAGTTATTCAAACACCCTTTTAAAAATTGTGATTTGAGTGAAATTTTACAAAGCAAACTGCTTCTCCATTTGACTGTTCATACCCATTTTGATTTATAACATTAATTACAATATCCACAAGGTAATCACA